TATTCTTGTTATTCTCCAAATACAAGTGTTGGCCTAGATGACCTCTAAGCTCCCTTACAAGTATAAAACTCTAATGGTTACCTGAATGTGGAATATATGACCAGAAGGCAATGGAAACATTTAAAATACCCACAAAGCAAAATATAGGCATTCTCTTTACTATTATACCAAGGCAGAATTTGATGGTGCCAATCTATTTCCTACTGAATGGTCTAGGACTACCAAGCCATCTCAATGCAAACACAACTTGCTACTTCAACCCACTCCTTGTGACCGAAGAGAGTTTGGGTTGGATTTCTAGTGCAATCTCCTCTGCCTCGGGGGAATGAGGAAAATTAAGTCTCATATGCCCTCTTGTGGGGGGAAAGTACACATCAGTACATTTGATGGTATCTCTCAACGTTTATGGTTTGTAACGGGGACGAGTGAGATTCTGGGGTACTGGAAAACTGGCCAAGAATAGTCTTGAAAAAATCGCAAAGTGTGAACCTTGAACTCCAGCTGAGGAGACCTAGATTCTAGTCAGTAGAGCACAGAGAGAGGCCTACGCAAAATGAACGAATGAATGAGTGAATAAAGAAATAGACGGAGAGTTAATGTTACCTAGTGCATCAAGAACTGGTCTCAAAGTCAGGAAAGCCGGGATTCAAAATGTGCTAGGCAAGTGAGAGCAGGTTTCATCTGGCAGAGGGGAATTTCTCATAAGGAGCTCCCTACACCAGTGACATCACAGGTCTGGCTGAAGGGGGGACAAAACCTAAAGCCAAGCACCAAAGCACAAGGTTCAGAAGGCTCTCAGGATGCTATCAGTCCTGTGGGTGTGGCAGCATGTGGGAAAGGGCTAATGTGAGAACTTCGCACAGAACAGAGAGTGAGAAATCTCCCATTGGGAAGCCAAAAGAACTTTAAAGACAAAGCTGTAGACAAGACTATGAAGCAAGAGGGGGAGGGGCAGCTGACATAAACACAGCAATGGAGGAAGAGGAACAACAACAAAAAAAGGTCTCCATAAGCCATCGAGAAATGTCAGCGGTTAGTCTGGTGACGCACTTCTGGGGCAGCTAGGTGGCACGGTGGATAGAGCACTGGCCCCGAGCTCAAATCCAGCCTCAGACGCTAGCTGTGTGACTCCGGGCAAGTCACTGAACCCGAACTGCCTCGCAGGAAAGAATTAAAAAAAAAGAAATGTCAGCAGTAGGACTGACCAAGCTGGTTATCGGAAAAACTCAAAAGAACACTTAGACTCTGGAGCTTTACCTGACATCCATGCAGATGCAGCACAAATAAAATGGAGCCAGGTCCCGCTTGCACAACACGAGTAAGTATTAAATAAGCATCTTGCAGAAAGCCCTCCTGGGATGCTGAAAGCAGTCCATTTCACTTGCTTAAATCTAGGGATATTGCAGGGGAGTTCAGAGACTTGAGCATGAGCATGTGACTACAAGTGAAAGTCCCATGTGAGTCATGGCACACCTAGCTCCCCTCCTCAATTAAGTGTCCTCTGGGACACCCCTTGAACAGCACTGTTGTGGCTCAAAGGGATTTGCTAACAGAATCATTTTGCCAGCCTCTTCCAAAGCTGCTTCAGCACATGGGTAAGAAGGGTGTAATAATGTGTTTGGAGAGGACGCATTAAAAAGACAGAGTAAGAACCTGGTCTTTTGCCCACCCTAGGCAGGCTACTTCAACCAAGCAGACAAGGATACTAACAAATGACCTACAGCAGAAACCCTATGTGTCCTCCTCCAACAGAGGAAGAATGAAGTAGAAGCTATCTCCAAATACAAGAGCAAATTAAATCAAGTGGACTTTTAAAACACAGTTTGGTTAACAAAGCACCAATAAGGAGTGAAGCTAGGGAACTTGAATCAAGGCCCCCATCCTGGGACCTCAGAGCTTGTTTTCATCTCTATAAAGTGGGAGAGATTAATACCACCTTCTTCACTAGGCTGCTGACCAGATTAATTTATGCCCTCTGGGCACAAGGCATTGTCTAAAGTTCTGTGAGTGGCTCTGAGAAAACTGTAAGGCAAACACAAGGTCTCATACTTCTCAAATGAGTAGTTTATTGTTTTCCAAATTCACACGTGGGCTGATAGGAACTCTAACTTGACTCTGGTATTTCCAAAACTAAATGTGACAACAAGGAAGGGAGGGTGGGAATCAGGTTTCCAGCACAACAAACTGATTGTTCAACCTCTTATTTTTCCCATATGCTGCCACTGATTTTAAGACAGAACAGCTCAGGAAGTAGAGATGGTGAAGTAAAAAGCCACAATATACAGTGTGACCTAGAGGACCTTGCCTGAACATATTTTGACAAGCTCTGATTTCCTACTTTAAATATGAAGCAGCTCCTCAACTAGGGATCAGTAGTATTATATAAAGAGCAGCAGTTCAGCTCTAAGAACTCATTTAGTAAAAGAGCTAGACCGCTAGGAAATTGATTACAGGGACACGCAGGGTGTTGAAGCACTACCCTACTGGCAAGCAGAATGATTATTTCAAAGCTTGCCTATTCTTATGTCTTTAATCTTTCAGGGAGTCTCCCCAACAACACTAAATGTAAACTGGAAAGAGTACTCTAAAAGGGATATTCAAGTCAGTCAGTCAGTCTGTTCCCTTCCAAGAAAATAAGCCACTAGAAACTGGGTGGGTCATTTCATTCCTCTGCCTTTCGGACTTGCAAAACAGCATAGTACAGAAAGTGACAGGAATTATGTGTTTTAAAGAACTGAAATTGGCAATTCACATAATTCAAGTTCCCAGGCAACAAAACACAGAGAATGCTAAATTTATAAGCAACCTAGACAACGTGTTGTTCGATGGGGGAAATCAGGACATTCCCTTTTAGAAAAGTGCTCTGAAAACCTCGTTAGAAGACCACTACGTGCCTAAATCAGTCAAACAATATGGTACCGCGTGCCTTTGAGAAGTCCAAAGGGTTCAACCCTATCAAGGTTCCTAACTCCCAATCAGCATGCAGGTATAGGTGAGTAGTATCTCAAAGAATTAATATAGATTAATCCAAATCTCATTTTCAAAACAATAAGAATCAGTTTTGAAAAAATCATTTTCATGCTCTTATGGTTAATCTACACATAGTGAGCTGTTCTCAAACAGGTGAAAAAAAGACGACATGAAAGGGGAGAGGGAGAAATGTAGAAGTCATTATGAATTTATTATTTACACAATTGTTAAAGTACACAAATACAGTGGTAATACAAATGAGCTGTTCAGAGATATTTGTTACCAATACACAGGTTGATACAGACATTCTAACTACATTTCCTGCAGGTAATGGTGGGGAGTTAAATATCATGGAAGGACAAGAACTGTCCACAACCAAACACAATTCTAGAAATCTGCATCTGAAACCACTTTTCAAACATACTCTGTCAATTCCAGGTCCTGGATACCGGGAGGAAGAAAGGCTGCCTTTGATATGTCTTTCTGGCATTACATCAGAAACCACAGATATTTACAAAGAAAGCACACTTTAGTGTACGACGGTAGCTGATAATGACATGCCTGAAAGGTTAAAAAAACCTAACTCAGTAAGACATTCAGCTACACAAAAATATCCCTCCACTAATCAACACTTTGAATCTTCCTATTGCACTCCCAAAACTCAGGCTCCCCCAACCCTGTCAAGTAAATACTCCCTAAAAGCTCATAAAAGCAACCAGATTAGGGCTTTGGAAGAAATCAATTATTGGGATTAAATGGAATAACTACTGGCGATGAAAATGAAAGTGACTGGCCAAACATTGCAACATCGATTTAAAAAAATTAGGTGTCTTCATAAACAAATGTTTCAGTTCTAGGAAATCGGGGTTCAGGGGGAATGAGACTAATGGATAAAGAGTAGGAGAAAGGGGTGGCTATAGCTTAGCTTCCAAACAGGACAGACTCTCCAGTGGGCTGATTAGAAAGAAATATAAAAATACCTATGTATATGTATAGATATATATATATATAGATATATATATATTGCACCTTGATTCCCAAGACAGAAAAAGCTCACATCTACTTTGCTTGAGTAAAGATTTGGTATCACTATGGTTCGGTGTTTCTGTGAGTGCTGCAAGATTAACAATAAGAAACATCATTTTATGAAAAGCTACCAAGAGCAGAAGTCCCCGAGAGGCTCCAGAGGAAGAAGATGCTGTGTATAGAAGCCATTTGCCTTCTAGTAGGTTTTTGAATCAACCCTGCACTTCTTTGTTTCTCTTCGGTGTACACACACACACACAACTCAGGGCTACCAAAAAATCTTGCCCCATAAATGCATGACCATAACCTGCTGGCATGTTAAAATTTCAAATGCAGGCTGAAAGCATCTATTTCTTGTCACTTCCAGGGATTCCCCTTCATCTGTTCAGCCCATGTGGGTAAACCTTGGCATCAAATGATGGCAGACCAGTTACCTTGAGCACATAGTTGTTACTACAAATGAAATGCCAATCTTGTATTGGTAGCATTTATAGTCCACTTCAAATTTTCCCCAATTCAAAGGCATTTGGGCAACCAACATCGAGAAAATCATACACTAACCCGAATCTCTCAATTACAATCTTCTCACAGGAAATCAGAAACATAGACTCAGTTTTTAATCATAAGAACTCCCAGCTGTTCAATCTGGGTCTCAAGAGCCTTGGCTTCAATATTCTTCAGAAGACTTCTTATTTCCCTTCCCATGCTCCTTGGGAAAGAATAGTGTCTTGCGTTGTTTGAAAGCAGCCCCGCACCGTTCAAGCAGCAGTCTTAGCTCTCTGACTGTACTGAAGACTGGCAAGAAATTCAAAACGGCTTTGTGTTGTAGGGGCCTTTTGGTTTTACATAGGGAAGAATGAACAAGATAGCCAGAAAGCAAGTTAATGAAACTACAAGTCACACACACACACATATATATGTGTGTACATATATATGTATATAAAACTTTGATGAGAAAACCCCCTCCAAACTGGATTGTACAAAGACAACAAAAAAAACACAAAAAAATTTGATCATTTTAATTCACATACACTCCCTGCCTGAAAACTCCAAGCCAGTGTCTTTGATGCAGAATTCTTCAAAGTCAACATCTTTTAAGTCAGACCGGAAAAAAATAAAATAAAATAAAATAAAATTAAAAAAAGACAAAAACGCAACAATAAAAAGACAGAATTCTTTACATAGATTTAAGCCAATAATTTTTAGCAAAATGATACAAAACTGTCTTAAACCAAGTAAAAGATTTATAGTTACAGTAGAATAATAAGGGGTAGCATAAGTTTACCACCAGTGGAGGGAAAAATGAAAAGACTCTCGGAATGGGAGTTTGATTCTCTTTGCAAATTGTCTCTCTCTTACACTCTGGTTTTTCTTCCCAGCCCCGTTATAACTGAGTTCTTTGTGACGGGGCATCAGGTTTCAGTCCCTGGCGATGGCAGCACTTGGAGTTTGTTCAGTTTGGGGTATTTTTTTTATTTCCCCCATGAGCATCGCTGGGTAAAAAGGCCTGGAGAGCTCCTGGTGTTAACGTTTTCTGTTCTAGATCGGGGGACGTTTCACTAGTAAAGCCATTGGTAGGTAACATAGTAGATCAGCCATGCATTGTCTGCCCCTCCACAGCAAAAAGGAGATTTCTCATCGGTGCACGACAGACTGAAGACCACTGGAAGTCACCCGACCGGGAATCTGTCGGAGCCAAAGCACAGGAGAATGTCAGCGTGTAGCCCGAGAAATGCGGGACCAGTCGAGTGGGTGCAAAATACCAAGGTGGTAAAGCCCTGGGAAGATCAGGAGCTCTACATTCATAAATGCCAACCAGCACCCACTCTAGGTCACCTCCTCCCACAGCTTGCTGGAAGGGAATTGCAGACGAAAAGCACCTCTGCCACCAGAAAAATGTGCTCAGCCAGAACGAGTGACAGAAATCAGGGAAGGAAGAAGGGGCATGCAAGCAAGGAAAATCAGGTTATGACTTAGCTGAGTTCTTGAAATTGATCTGGTGAGAATTCAAGAGGGCTAGAGATAAACCTCACCCAATCCCTCCCTCTTAACAAGTGTCTTGCCTTTTTGGAAATGGCTACACAAGCCCCAGTTGAGTACTAAGACACTCCCCTTTGGGAGAAGATGTGAGAAGTGGCTCCCATCAAGATATTTCCATGGCTACAACGTTAAACTACAGGTGTCACACAGCAGTGACTAGACCTGACCAAAGCTGCAAGTCTGCTGTTCACAGGAAATGCAGAGTATTGAATTGCAAATGGGAAGTAAGCAGGAGCTTCCAGCCATGCACGAACTGAAGCAAGGGAAAGGGGGTGTGGGAAGAGTAAAGAGCAGGTGGCTACGGCTAGATGGGTTAATACAGACAGTAGCTGTATGGATGAGAAGGTTGGCAAAGTGATTTGAGTTTGAAAAGAAAAACAACATGAGAGCACAAAAAGAAAAGAGCAGAAGAGGTGACGGAAGAAGCTAGGAGGCGCTGAGACCATTATGGGTCTTTCAATTCGGCAAGAACTAAAAAATTTAACCCCAACTTAAGCAAGGAACTCCTCAGCTAAACACTACAAAACAAAGAACAGCCTGGTCCCATCTGCTTCCAAATAGGTAGAGATTGATGCCATCATGCCTGTTTAAGACACCAGCCTCAGAAGGCTCCAAACAGCCAGGTGCAAATGTAGTGGTACAGGATCAAACAGAGCAGGATTTGACAAAGGCTTTGGCAGGGAGAAGCATGGACTGGGGGAGAGGAAAATGGGAAGAATCTACAACATTAAATGGGTTTCACTTATAAGAAAGCCCTTTGCTTTGATGAGACAATATGAAGACAGGTCTTTGTCAAAAGTACAACTGGATTCCATTTCCTGAATTTATTCAGATCCACATCTCAATGCAGAGATTGCTATCTCCCATGCAAAGTAACCAGCTGCTTTGAAATCCACACCAAAAACCCTCAATCTAACTCAAGTACCTGGCATGCAAGCCCAGCCCCACATGGAGGCTCCCAAAGGTGGGAAGGACAGAGGAAGAAGGGTGGTCAGCTCCCACCCCAGCCTCTGAGTCTTGATGGCTAACGAGACGGGACTGAACATCAACACACTCACCCAGTGCTGCCTTCCAACGGGTAGACGAGCAGCTACTTGCCGTGGTGTTCGAAAGGAATGCTATTCTGAGTTGGGGGGAAAAGACAGCTGTTGGTAAGAGTCCTGCTGGCCAAACACAGCATTGTGAGGTCATCGTCCCACCTGACTTCCTAAGTGCAGCCTCTATTTCCAAAGATCTTCATTTCTCCTAATCTCAAAACCAGATCCATAACACACACATGCAGAAACCTCTTTATGATCAGCTCTTACAAGAGCTTGCTATCTGGTATTTTTTTTTTAAAGAAAATATTGGGGAAAGGGGAAATCTCAGGTGATGACATGCATTTTTTTTCTTCCGAGCATACTGCCTAGCAAATATTAGCCAGCCTTCTGATCCAAGAGAATTTGTATTACCCCCAACCATCCCCTCTCTTGCCAAATATTGCTTCAGTCTTTCAGCCCCAAATTAGGGAAGCTAGTCATTCTTCTTCTTCTTAAAGCTAATCCATGAGAAGGCAGACAAGAGAACAGATCCCGTATGAATTTCGTCTACTCAGTTTTGTTTCCAAATCGTGGGTATATTTAACTTCATCCTTAAACACTAAGTTGAGAAAGCTGGTCAATGACTGTGGAAGAATGAGTCAAAATGGATAAATTTCTGTACTTCAGCAAATTCTGAGATCAAGCTGTTTGGATCCTTTGCATGCGAAGGCTCTTGTATCTTGACTAACAAATCCTATTACATGCCCCTGAAGGGATAATCACCTTAAGTAACAGTCTAGAAACAGTCCCTAGAGTTTGGCAAGGAAGTCCATTTATAAACAGTAAGGAAACTTTCAAACTGATTCCAGCAGAGAGAGAAACTGGGTTACTGTCAAATTCTTGGTAGCACAGAAAAGAATGCCAGCTCTGAGGCATAACTGATAAAACCCAGCAGTAATCCAAAGGGCAGGAATCTCAGACCCAGGTATCTTCTGAGCAGGACAACTTTTTTGATGACCAGCAGGTAAAGTAAGCTAATTTCAGAAAGAAGACAATTTTTCTAAATTGGCAGTATTTTTCTTTTCCTTAGGATGTAATGGTCACAAGTTAATGATGAATGAGCTAGATGCTGATTGCTATTCACTTGTAGAATAAAAGACTTAAACCAGATTTCGGGGAGAGGGGCCAGGGAAAAGAATAACCAGAATCCCAGGGTCGCTAGAATTAAAAACCTTGAGCTCATCTATGTAACATCATAAAAAAGGTACCACTCAGAAATGCCATGCAGGAGTGTGAAAGTGGAAGAAGCTAAGTTCTAGGAGTTAAAAAATGGCTTAAGGCAACACACAACTTTCTTCAGTAACAACTAGTTAAAAATGAAGGCTTCCAAAATGATAAACTGTGTTATTGAGATATAGCCCATCTCTGCCCCCTTCCTATTCTGCAATTGACATACTTTTCAGACTGAATTACATACTAAGTCTTTGAGAAACAAATGAGACTTGAGTCTCTTAAGAGGCTAAGAGTGTGTTTACACCAATGGTAATGTATACATTCAGAAATAACTGAAATCTCTTGAATACACTAGTTGATGCTTTAATAGATTCAAAACACTTGCTGCTCTAAGAACTGTATAGATGATGAGATAGAGAAGAAGAGATCTCCCCCACCCCACCCAATCCCCCTGGGACATTTCCTGGGACTGCAAGATAATAGAAAGGAAAACCAGAGCTAAGATTCAATAGTAGACAGCTGCCTCGAGAGGTAAGTTAGTGGGAAGAAGCTTCTGCAAGCTCTTGGGCAGTCTATGGAATCGTCCAGGAAATATGGCAGCCTCTGTCTGATTGAGTCACTGTATTATCGCCTGCCTACTGTATAGCAATATTCTTTGCAAATATCATGGCTGTTTATGGCTAATCTAAAAATGTTTTCTACACAGGAACCCACTAGGGTTTGAGGGGGGAAATATGAATGTGCTGATGATACAGTTTTGCATCTGTAGAAGATGCGAAAAGCCTTTTCATAAAGTATCCTTAGCTGTATTTCAGAAGATGGAAAAATTTTGAAAGGTCTGCAGGAGGAAGAAGTGTCTCTGATCTAGCTATCTATACAGTCGTTGGTGCCTTCAAAGGACCCCTCCCAAGTAAAGACCACTGACAAATGTTGAGGCTGTCTGTCCTCTTAAAGAGGACATACTGTTACTTAGTATCAAAATTTTTGAAGATTCTTCCCTACATTCAAAGCCCTGGACTGCCAATCAGTATTACCCTTCTTGATTAGGTAAGGGGAAAGTGAAATGAACAAGAGCTAAAAGCCAACCAAACCATTCTGAAGGAAGAGAAAGATATAGAGGCTCTTTGACAATCAAATAATGTGAAGTTACCTCTATAATTTTCAGGGACTTTGCAAGAGGGACAAGGCACTTCCTATGTGTATCATATTAACTTAACTATGTCAACATCAAAGGTAGCAGGAGAGGTTAATAAACTTTGATTTTAAGAAGTGGTCCAACGCCTCTGAGAGCCAAAATACTGATTATGAATCTCTATAATTTTCTTTTAGGTCCAATCTTTTTAATAGATGATTCATTTTGCTTTGTTATTATTATTATTTTAAATTAGGTATTCCAACCCTACTGGTCAAATGTTAACTGGCCAAAGTGCCATACAATACGAGACAACCCTACAAGTATCACACGCAATTTTTAGACTCCCAAAGCCACGTTAGAATATGAGTCTAGGCAGGACTGGGCAAAGAGAGGTACTCAGGAAAAACTAGTTCACCTCCCTTAGTACTGTTTACCCTAATTTCTGAGAGCTTTCCAAAACTACCAGGGGAGTAAGCGGTCTTTAAATTAATATGAATGCTACAGGTATAAAATGGAAATGAAGTATAGATTAGCATGTGTATTACATTCCACATTGGACCATTTCACTGTTCATGGGGGAAAAGGCATACTAGGCCATTTCTACTGATTAGATCATAAAATATCTTCAAAATTCAAAATTCGATTAATCTAAGTACCATCCATAGGGGTAGTGTGCTCCAGATCTCATACTACTAATAGGGAAACGGGCTACCTCATCAATATTGTTTGTCATTCCCAGAAACAGTCAAACATTCTTATATGTATCCCACCTTCACCAAATCAATGACCATTTAAAAAATATTGAAAAAAATCATAAGGGGAACCTGGAAAGCAATTTTCTTCTCCATAAGACAAAATTATACAGCTACAATTTTGGATAAATGTAGGGCTTATTCTCTGTCAACTCCATGTACTGTCACCCAACACACAACTCACTAGCCAAACTATAACTTCAATTAGGCAAGAAGTCTACCTAATTTAGAAACTAAAAAGTATCACAATTAACAAGGATGTCATTTCAAAAGCCACCACAAGAACCAATTCTCCAGCTAATCTTTCAAACTGACATGTCAAATCAAGCACTCCAGTATTGACTTGGGTAACTCATTTCCTATATGTAAAATTTTGCAGGACATTTGCCAGTAACCAAGTTGTAAACAAGCATAGAGGTAAGTGACCAAGGACCAAAAGACAGATTTTGCTTTGGTCTATTCTAATTACTGAAAGGGCCCCACAAACACAGGAACTGCCTCGGATGGGGAACAAAATGGATAACACATGTAAAGATCTGTCCTAGTTTGTTGAAGTAGGTATGCATCAAAGCAGAATGAAAAGAGAAAAAGAATGTGCATAGAATAAAGTGGTTAAGAGGGAGAAATCTGAGGCCTGGCTTGGAGCTGAGGATTCTTCATCATGGCTCTGTTGCCTTCACCTTGCATCAAGTTTATATTTCTTTCAATGGGCAAGTTCTCATTAGCGAAGGGAGCAAATAAGATACAAAGAAGGCATAAAACCAAATTTGACCCAATTCCATAATACTGTACTAAGGAAAAGAAAGTTATTTGTCACCCACTGTGTAACATGCGTACCCAGGACTTGACATGTGTCTGGAAGAACAAAGGGTAATCAGCTCACTACACAAAGAAAGACTCACACTACAAGTTAATAATTTTTAAAAAAAAATCAATTCCTTGACTCGTCTTGCTCTTTAACTAGGTTTAGTTCTCCAAACTAAAAAAAATGAGGAAAACTTTTCCAAGCAGGGCCTATAATAATGGCCTGTCATATGAGCAAGAGGTACAGGCAGTTTATTGTTTAGATTATGTCTATGAAAGACAGAAGTCCAGGGTACATGATCACAGTACTCAGTGGGAGGCAAACACAGGACGGATTAAATAACAAGAAGAGAAAAGGCCTTCGATGGTTTTTTGCTCACTGGCTCCTTTAAGGAAAAGGGCCCTTAAGTACGTATAGCTCAACTCCCTCAGTGAATCTCAACCTTGGCAGGAAAATAGCTATTACAAATCTGAGACCCAGGAAGCTGAGAAGACTTCTAAAATATTTAAAAGATTTCAAATAGGCCTTGCTCCACTCATATCCCTGAGGTAAAGGAACAAAAAACAAAACCTTAAATCACACACAAGACACGGGGGATCCATCTTGTCTAGTCAGTGCAGGGGAAGCAGCAGATTAAAACTGAGGAGTCACATTTACACACGTTACCATGCTGTGATCCCTAGCTCTCCCTCTGGTAAGGTGTGCCCAGATTTCGTACCTGTGAGGTTGACATGCGAGAGGTATCTTGTCGGCCTGTTAAATCAGACGAAGAGATATTGACTGGGGCACCACGATGCAGTCTCATACTCACTTTCCGCTCTCTTTCCATTCCGGAGACAGGCCGAGGAGAGGTGTTAGCTAGGAGAAAAGATACAAATGGAGTGAAACTATAAAGTCTCTCTTTATTCACCCATCTTAGAATCTAGCTTCAAACTCCATTATTTAGCATATTTTACTTTTGAAATAAGTGGGCCTATAACCCTCTAACAATTCTGAACTCTGAGATCAAGAGGGTCACCAGCCTTATAGTTATGATTACAGTAGTACACTACCACACCTGTCTGGGAAAGCAGATTTCAAAGGACTCAGAGCAAAAACAGGTAGAATCCCATGGAGTAAAATGCCTGAGGGGCTGCAAGCCCAGGAGGGATGGCAGATGCTCAAAAAAGAAATTCTGAAGACACAAAGGGAAACAGCTCCACTGAAGAAGAAAATGAGTTTATAGAATAATCCTGTAAAAATAGCGTTACAGATATTAACCCTTTGAATGAGCTAAGGCTTACAAGGGAAGTTAAGGAAAACAAAAAAAAATTATTTTCAACTGTACTGGGTGCAAAAGGATCAAAGAAGGTATAGGATTTTTGTCTGGGGTGGATGGAATGTTGCTAACTGGTAAGAACGAAGGCGACAAAATTACTCAACTTTTCTTTTGTTTGTTTTCTCTACAAAGGAGAATGGCCTTTATACTGGAAATGACAGAATAAAAATGACTAATAGGGAGTTCATACCCAAGGTAAGTAAGGAGATATTAAATTCAGGTAATCCAGCCCAGATGATATCTCCTCAGGCCCTGAAAGAACTGGTTGATGTGACTGCTGAGCTTCTTTCAGTGATAAACTGTATTGAAGATGTACACAAAAACTGGAGAAGAACAAATATTGTCCTACTTTTCAAAAAAGAGAAGAAAATAGAGCCTGTAAACTATAGGCCAGTGAGTTTGACTTTGATTTCCAGGAAGATTCTAGAATGGATCATTAAAGAGATGGCTGGTGCCCATCTAGAAAGGGAAGCAGTGATTCCAAAGAGTCATCATGGGTTCAGTGAAGAAGGTCATGCTAGAATAACCTAACTTCCTTTTTTAACAGGATTAGTAAAACAGCAGATGAGAGGGATGTCATGGGTGTAGTTTGAAAAATTTTGGCAAAACTTTTGACCAAGTATCTCATACTATTCTTGTGGAGAGAAAATGGAAAGAAGAGGATAAGACAGATGAGAATACAATCACACGGAATCAGAACTAGTTGGATGGCTGCAGAGTAGTTTGTTTATGGTTCAATTTGAGCTTTGAAGACTAAGCAAATAAACATTTATAAAGTAACTACTATGTTTCAGGCACCATTCTAAGTGCTTTACAAATACCTCATTTGATCCTTATAACTAACCATGCTGGGCAAATGTTACTAATATCCCCATTTTACAGCTGAGGAAACTGAGGCAAACAGATTAAGTGACTAGTTCAAGGTCACAAAGCTAATGTCTGAGGCCAAATTTGAACTCAGGTCTTTCCAACTCTTAGGCCCAGCAGTCACTGCTATACCCCAGGGATCTGTTTGGCCTAATGACTTAGATGGATAAAGACACAGGAGGTATGATCATTAAATTTGCAGGTGACACAAAGCTTAAAGGGATAGTTAAACAATAGGGTTGGCATCCCCAAAAAGATCTTGACAGGCTAGAACATTGGGCTGATTCTAATAATTCAACGAGGATAAATGTACAGCTAACTTGCAATTGGGTACCAAAAAAAACCAATCAACTCCACAAATATAAGCTGGGGGAAGGTATGGATAGATAGCAGTTGTTCTGAAAAAGATCTTGGGGTTTTACTGGCTGCATACTCCACATGACAACAGTGTTATGCAGCAGACAACGAAGCTATTATAATCCTGATGTATATTAAGAGAAGCAGAGCTTCTAGGAGTAAAGAGATAATAACCTTACATTCTGCTCTCGTAAGACCTCACACTTGGGGGTGAGGGAGATTGTGTTCTGTTCTGGGCACGACTATTTGAATGCACTGATAAAGCGGAGTATGTCCTGAGGAGGGCAAACAGGATGGTGAAGGATCCTGAGTCCGTGCTATATGGGGCTCGTTGAAGGAACTGGCAAATTTAGCTTGGAGAAAAGACTCATGGGGACATAATAACTATGTTCAAATATTTCAAGTGGAAGAGAGATTAGACTTGTTCTTTTTGGCTCCAGGGAGCTGAACCAGGAGACAGAAATTACAAAGAGATCAATTTAGGTTTGATGGTAAGAAAACTTCTTTAAAATTAGAGCAGTCTAAAAGTGTACTGGCCTGACCTCAGGGGGCTCTTTGAGCAGATGCTGGATGATCATTTTGGGTGCATATTATAGTGGGGATTCCTTTTGCATATGGATATAGGCTGTATGAGATGGCCTCTGAGATCCCTTCCAACTGTCAGATTTTGTTATTCTGTGAAATTCTTTCACAAAGGTATTTTTTTCCAAGAGAGCCATGTCATCTGCTTAGGGGTAATTATCAGAATAAACTTGATAAATAGTAGTCGATATTGAGATAAAATCTGTTAACAAATTAATTACTCAGGCAAAGCAGTGTTGTATCATTTGTATATGATCCCAGAGCAAGCTGGAGCTCAAGCTGGAAAAAGATCTCTCAAGTTCTAAATCTAGGGCATGGTTCTTGAACCATCAACTCCTTCAAAAAAAGTTAAATTAGAAAAAAAAAGAAAACAAAAATAAACTACCGGCTAAAAAAGGGCCTAGGGAAAGCAGCTTTTGTTCGCCCACTTACCAGTATGTGAGGTAGGGGTGAGGGGAGTGGGAGGAGCTACATCTTGTGTTCCCCTGAGGCGGCCTGATGCAGTGGAAGGGAGACCCCGAGTAGCTGGATTTCGGGAATGTCTCAATCGCTCCTCTCGATCCCGGCGTTCCCTTTCGGCATCATCGGCTGCCCGGCTGGCACCCTGAAGAAGGTCAACATTATCAGACCTGGCTTACTGCTAACTTTATCAAGATTCTTTTACAATTATTTGGCCACTTGAGAAAACACTAAGCTATATTTGGGGGAAAGACTTGTCTTGTGATGAGATTAACCACAAGGAAAGGTTAGGAGACTTACTACTGTCATCACAAGGGCAGAACCCTGTTAAAGCCACCTAGAGTGCTTGCTGGGCTTGGAGTCAGGAAGACTTGAATTCAAATTCAGACTCAGACACTTATTAGTTGTTTGACTCTAGTCAAGTCACTGAACCTCTCTTTGCCTCAGCTTCCTCAACTGAAAAATGGGGATAATAGCACCTACCTCCCAGGGTTGTATATTTATAAAGCACTTAGTCCACATAGTAGGTGCTTAATAAATGCCTGTTTCTTTCCTTTCTTCCTAAGCAAGAGAAACTCCATCTCACAACTCCTAAATGCAATCATATAGACAAGGTCAAAGCTCTAAAAAGCTCCTTCAAACCCTATATCTATACTATTGATTATATGAATGTCCCCTTTTAATTCTATCTGTGCCTGCAAATCACACAAAGCATTCATGTACTGTGATGTGACCTTTGGGGGAGAGAGAAGTAGTACAGGGAAAGAAGATAAACAGACAACCAAAAGCCAAGGTACAGCCAAAGAAGGGATACAGAGAGGGTGAGTAGAAAGACAGAGTAGGTATGAAACCAGATGCTGCTGAAGTACAGAAACATCTGAGCTGGTAGTATTAGGCCAGAGGGTAAGAGATATTATTAAGTGAATTACATTTAGCGCATCAAGAGGGTAGGTAGGACAGAAAAGGCAAAGTGCTATCACTGAAGAGGTTATGCCAGGTGAGGATGGATCTGGATGCATATGGCTGCATTCATAGTGTAGCTGTTTTTGCTATAGACTCAAAATTAAGAATATGGCCCAAATCAGAAACCCTGGGTACATTTCTTTGTTGTTATTACTGCCACCAGAGGACCACCAGCAGCAGCACCTCAGATAAGGGCTTTAAAGTTTATCAAGTATTTTCATACACATTTCATTTTAGACACTTAAGCTGTCACACTCTTGGCCAACCAATTTTTAAGGATTAATAAAATTCCTTGATAGGAAGAAAACAACACAAGGAGAAAAATTATGAGTGACTTTTTCAGGAAGGGTATATGCTGAGAAACCAAATTTTGAGTAGAAGAATCAATAATTATGTTCAACTGCACGAGAAAGATTCCCATCCTCTTGGTTCTGCAGGTTTCTAAATCCCCTAGGCCATTTTCTTGAGAATTAAGAGTTCAACAACAGGAACCTGTCTATGATGTCTCATCTTCTCAGAAGGGACAGCACAGAAGAAAAATTACAAAATTTCCAATGACTCTTCCATGGAAACCTCTTAATTATAGTCATTATACAACTGAAGTGAATAGGTAGAATTCATACAGAATAAAAATATTTAACTCCTAAAATATGGGGAAAAATATCTGGGTTTCTCACCATACACTTATGAATGAATGATTTAACCTAACAACTGCAAGTTCCATCATTCATGTTAATCTAGTATCAGAATCACAGAGTCTATAGGGATACTAGAGGCCATCTGGTCCAATCTAGTCAAGAAGCCTCTCTATAATTATGCCCTCCCTCAAAGCATTCATCCAGTTTTCACCTGAAAAGCCTAAGGGGGAACCTGCTATTTGGAGAGTCTACTATATTTTTAGATCTCTAATTGTCAGAAAGGAAATCCTTCCTTACATTAAAATGAAATACACTTGTCTGCAACTTCCACCCAGTGGCCCTAATTTTTCCTGCAGGGCCAAGAATGAAAAACAAGTTGAATTTTTCTCCTATCCAACACTCTTTGGATATTGGAAGACAGTGCTCATGGTTCTGCCAAGTGTCTGCTCTTTGTTCTCCAAGTTAATTCTCACTGGGCAAGACTTTGATGCCTATCAACTTTCTGGTTGCTCCCCATTGTCCCTTGTCTCCATCTTAAGATGGGATATTCAGTATAGAACATTCTTCAGAGAAGAGAACAGAAGAATACTGGCTTCCCTGGTCTGGGACTCTAGGCCTTTCACAATATATCCCAAGATGGGTTTTCACTTTCTTGGCTGCCATATCATATTGACTTACACTGAATATGCAGGCCATTAAAACCTTTAGATTTTTTTTCACATGAATATTGCCCAGCCATGGCTTCCCCATTTTAGAATTGTGTGGTTGCTTGAATGCAAACATGGGCCTTTATATCTATCCCTATAAAATTTCATGTTATTTGGTTTAGCCTATTTATTCTAGGTTACCAAGATCTTTCTGAATGTTGATTCTGTCATCCAATTTGTCATCCCTTCCACCATGTAATGTCACCCAAAAATCAGATAAGTGTACTTCATTCACAGGTCAGTGATTTAAAAAAAAAAAAAGAGGAAGAGTAGTCCAGGGCAAAAGACAAGATTCCCAATTCCCTTCAATAAAGACCTTCTTCCAGGCTGACACAGAGCCATTAACAGCTAACTCTTTGAGTTCCGTTTTTCACCAATCTCAGATCCACCTGGCTTTACTATTACCTAGATCAAATCTCTCCATCTTCACAAGCATAACAAGAACAGCGCTGTCAAATGTACCTACTATTTCAACAGCATTTTCCTCATCTTCCAGTTTAGTTACCCTGTCAGAAAAATTATGTTAGACTGGCATGGCTGTTTTTGATGAAGTCACGCTAGCTCTCTTGGTGGTTACAACTCACCTTTCAACACATTCACAAACCACCTATTTAACAATATATTCTAATTTTTGAGGATGAAGTTGCTGATTTGTTTACACATTCCAACCCTGTTCTCTCTTAAAAAAAAATATCAGGACATTTGGCCTTCTCCAATCTTAAGATATCTGTCCCATTCTTTATTATCCTTCAAAGTCCTCTAACAGTGATCCTGACTCTCTCCAAATGCAAATGTTTAAATTGGGCAAAAATGAAACTAACTCCAAATTCTGCAGCAAAATATTTGGCATTACTGGTTAGCCCCTTTTCATCTGTAAAGTCATTCTAAAGCTTCCTGTTTTTGTGTACTCTTTGAGGAAGAGGTTTAACTCTGTAAGCTGTAGATTTTGTCACCCTGGAAGGGTTTCAATTTCTGTTCTGAGTTGATAACTGAACAGAATGAATTCTTAACAAAAGAGGAAGAAGAACAGCGTAAGCCTGAATTCTGATTAGTTCTATACCAAATATCACTGTCCCAGTGTTGTCAGAGGAAGAAAAAAGGTCCAAGGGATAGTAGAAGTATGGCATTGGGATTTACAAAATGAATTAACTATGGGCAAAGGAAGTAAAAACTCCAATGAAAGATCTAAGACAATACTTGGATAGGTATTTCAAAATAAGTAAGAACACAATTCCCAAGGCTCCATTGGTCCATTTTCTGGGACCAGGCAGTCGTGATGACCCATGGTATACATCCAGGTTGTCAGGAGACTGCCAGGTACAGCAAAAACATTTGAAGAACTCCAATGTCTTTCCCCTTTTACTCCTGCATTTCAACGTTACTGGGATCACAATTATCCAAGTGATTTTAAAAGGGAGAAAGAAAACAGGAAATGCTACCTAAATAACTCAAAAACCAAAGGTAAAATCCTATTTGTGAACTCCAGTCCTTAAAAGGAATAACAGTGGTACTTACAAATTTGAGCATGTTCCAGTCAAACACATAGTCATAGGAAAAACCCTGGCGATGGAACAGGTTCCTGAAGAGCTGCCTCAGGTAGGAATAGTCAGGTTTGTCATCGAAACGCAATGAACGACAGAAATTCAGGTATGTGGCAAATTCAGCTGCAAAACATTGAGAAACTCAAAGCTGTATTCATGGTATGGAAATTTGGTTTGAGTGTTAGTATTAATTTTTTCCCCTACAGTTTGCTTGCATTTATTTTTATCTTCTACTGTTCTAAACACATAAAAAATAGAACTATGATCTAAAGCATAAATGAAATCTGAGGTACTCATCATTGTTCTGGAACTTAGATCCCAGAAGGAAATTTATTTTGGGAAACTGATGCTACTAAGAACTAAGACACGTGTTCTGGGAATGCCCAGATGAAGAACATGAAGAAAAGGTAATGGAAAAATCACATCAGGAGCTGAAAGAAGAACTGTTTCAGCAGCAAGTGAAATGAGGCAAGGCTATGGAATAGAACGCAGGCCATCTAAGAGATAAGGTCAAGGTACTGGGCAAAAACCTGTCTATCCTTGACAATAAGAGATGTTCAACATTTAAGCAGCAAAGAAGATAAGGAAAGGTTGTGCAAAGCATTAACGGTCTGTCACTTTTCTGGTATGGAGAGAAAAAATGTTTCCTTCCACAATGCTTCTTCTAAGGACAAAATGGAGGTGCTGAGAAACAAGATTACAATTTTTTTTGTTATCATATTATATTTCTTCCACAGCACAGACTTATAACTTACTAAATGACAATTTAACAATGTGGAACAAGTAGACCCCCACAGAGACTTACAAGGGTAGCCTTTACACAACACTTCAATGGGAGTGGACATTTTCTTTTCACTAATTCTTTCATATTTTTGTCTCTTGGTAGCAGCCTTCAGCCCCTGCCAGGGTAGGGACCCCAAATTGAAGTACATCAACACATAGCCCAGGGACTCCAAGTCATCCCTTCGAGATTGTTCTGAAGAGAGAGGATAAAGAAAACTATATGACAGGGTGACAACATGCATTCATTCACTGTATTTTTAAAGAAGTAACAAAAAAAAAATTCACAAAGTAAATGTTTAACAGTCACATTATGGAGAAAAGGAAAAAACCTTTAAAAATTACAATAAAATTTCTTGGGTCCTTTGGATTTATAATAAATTGCCATTCTTTTTTTTTTTTTTTGGCTAGGCAATGGGGTTAAGTGACTTGCCCAGGGTCACACAGCTAGTAAGTATGTGTCTGAGGCCAGATTTGAACTCCAGTCCTTCTGAATTCAGGGCCGGTGCTCTATCCACTGTGCCACCTAGCTGCCCCATAAATTGCCATTCTTGCCTTAAACTAAATCAACTAACCCTTAGGCTAGGGTAAAATAATCCCATAATCAGCTGATTGTAAATAAAAAGCAAACAGTTACTAGCTCCTCACATCCTTAAAAAAAAAAATGCTTTCAATTCAGTTACTCAGAAACTACAAACTATCTGCCCCAAGGATTTAATGGTCACTGGTTCCATAAACTTTGAAGTTAGCACATTCTGATGATGCCCAAGAACACAGGTTAGCAGCTATTACATTTCCAGATTTGAGAGATAAGTAGTCCAGAAGGCTCTCTTATGTCAATGACTCCCAGTTTTCTAAGCAGAAAAGTATACTATATACAGGCTCACCAATTCCAAGATGAGTGTTGATGGAGGCATAACGAGCAGTTCCTGTGAGGTTTTTATTCTCACGATAGGGTATGTGCTGATGGGTCCTAGCATCCCGGTACTTCTTGGCCAACCCAAAGTCTATAATGTAGACTAGGTTACCCTTTTTTCCCAGTCCCATAAGAAAATTATCCGGCTTCACATCACGGTGGATGAAGTTCTTTGAATGAATGTATTCAATCCGACTAATCTATAAGCGAGAAGTAAAAAGAGATGATCAAGATGCGAGCAACAAGATGGAAGACTAGATATTTTCTCTCATCCCCATGACATCTCAAACCTCTCCAAAACAGAAATTATGCACCAAAGATAAAACAACTTCAGGTGTCTCCATGGTCATGGACACCCAGAATCCAAAAGCATCTTAAAAAATAAAAACCAAAACCCAAACTTGTTATGTTCATTGACATTTAAGTTCACTCAGCACCTGTCCCCCAGCTCCCACACTACCAGCAGTAAGGCACCATTCAGCAGATTCAAGGACTTAAGGGCTTGCAACAAAATATACCTCTCTACTCTGGTGCCCCCTTCCTCCATTGCCTTGGAGAGTTCCAGCTCCAGGCTGCCAAAGTTCACTCCTAACATTATGTGCTCCAGAAGCCCTTGAGGAGCAAAAGCATGCTGGGAGCTGCCATCGTTGCAGCAGCAGAAACCCTGTAGCACTAGTGCTGCAGAGCTCTGACCTGCTGGGGCTGCCAATGCCATGGTGGACAATCACATAGCAACTCTCTCAACTGCTGGTGTCAGGCCAGAGAACTGAAAAGCAGGTAGTGGGCAGGCCACCAGGTGAGGACGTTGTGTGTGGAGGGCTGTGTAGCACTCCACTAAGCTGGAGATAAACAGCTCAACATTCATTTGGAGCAAGTTCTGCTACCTAAAAATCACTTGGGGCAGAGATCTGGGTTGATGAACCATGAATTACCTGGTGTAAAAGGAGGCTGAGAAACTTTGAGATCTAGCCTCCAAGGAAACCACCAACATAAAAGACAAAGCTAGAAAGTGTGCAATAAGGGGAAATCAAGGGAGAAAAAAAAAAGACTAAAATTACCAAAGATCTTGGGAAGAAGAAAACTCAAAGGTCTTGAACATAAGCAGATACATCAACAAGGAAATCATTTAACTACAGAAGGAAACAGGGCTGTAGATCTAGTAAATGAGTTCATGCATCTGAATAAATACTGCAAAACAAAGGAAAATGATCCAAGATTTGAGACAGAAGACTCTATAGAATGATAAGGAAAACATGGAACTACCACACACTGTTCCTGAGAGGCTCAAATGAGAAATGAGAAGTCTGAGAGCAAAATTTATGACCCACAGAGCAAAAATAACGGACAAAACAGAAAAACTAGAACTTGTGATGGCGAATCTCAAAGGAACAAGAGAATGGAATGCAAATATACAGAAGTAAAAAACAATCTAGAAAAGTAAAAAACAACAGCATTAAAAGAAAATATGCTAATTATACAAACAAAACATACTGATCTTAAAGACAGGATGCATAGAAAAAAAACCTAAGGATCATGGGTGTCCCAGAAAATATGATCTGCCCCCTCAAAATAATATCATTGTGCAAGAAATAATAAAACTGCCCAGAACTTCTGAACGTAGAAAAAGAAATATCGATTGAAAGAATTCATAGATCATCTCCAGAAAAATAAATCAAGGCTAAAAACTCCAAGACACATAGTTGTTAAATTTAACCAATTCAGAAACAAAAAGTTTTACAAGCTACCGGGGGAAGGATTTTCAAACACAAAGGAAAGGACATTCCAATAATGCATGTGTATATTCTGCACCTATCAGAAAACTAGAAGAGAATGGAATAATGTACTCTTAAAGGGCAATCAAGCTCAGGATGCAGCCCCAGGGTGGCCTACTCTGCAAACCTAAGCTAAACTGTAAGTGAAAAAAGGTGGACATTCAATAATAGAGGCATTCCAAAACATTTTTAAAAAGTAAACCAGAACTAGAGATTATTTGCTTCTTAAACACTCAAAACAAACAACAGAAATGCAAACGGAGTGAATAAATGCAGGAGCCATGAACAGCAACAGAGTAACAGCTGAGAGACCAGTAAGAGATGCCTTCCTAAATCTACACAAGGAAATGGAGGTGAAGGTGGAAGTCTGGTGGAGGTAACAGTGAAAACGTAGGCCTAGAGTGTTACCGACAAGGTGACACTGCCTATAGATGAATCCATGTTTGGTTTTTTTGGCAGAACTACAATACAACACAGGAACATGCATGAAAGGGGATACAGTGAGCAGGAAGATAGAGAGGAATGTGTGATGGGCCAGGAATGTGTGAATGGTCCATGGACTCATTCTGTTGGGTCAAATAGAGAGCTAACAATGGAGAATGGTAATCAGCAGCCTTAGAAAGAAACAGCCTGCAGGGTAGTGGGTGGGGAAGAAGGGGAAGATGACTGAAAAGGAAGAAGGAAAGGAGGCTTTGCTTTGGTGGCCGAAGGATCCACTGATGAATGCTGCTATGGGTGAAGATGGTCTATGAAGGAAGATAGGCACCTTAAACTGCGTGTGGTCTAGGGAATCTAGTGCTTTCAAAGTCCACTCATCCTAACCTCAGGAGAGGAATCAGATCTCCTGGGGGGCAACTTGGGGAGTAGTAGAGCATGAACCTTCAAGAAGGAGACTTTGAGGCAAATGGGGAAATAAAAACAGTAACTGAGGAGGGTACAGATCAGCTGCATAATCAAGGGGGAGAGGCCCTATGGGGCAGTAACCTCTGACCCCTGTAGTACCTGGCATTGTTTTAGGAGATACAATGGAAAAGGCTAAGTGGGGAGAGGGGGTAAGCCCTACAAGGAAGTGGCAGAAACCAACACAGCAAAAAGCCTGTGGTGGATGCCTAGGAATTTTTGACTGCATGAAGAATACAGAGAATAGAAAGAAACCAGATAATTACAGGGGCCATGAATCAGGAGAATGAAGGCCTAGAATAGACAGAGAGGACGGATAATGAAGAGAGTAAATGAAATTCTTTTTTTGAAAGGGGCATATAGAAAAGAAATAAAATTTAAAAAACTAGTGAACACAACTAGAAGGGGAAAAGAAAACGGGGAGAATCTACTTGATTGAGAGAAGAAAAAGAAGGGGAGGAAGAAGGAATTATATAACCAGATAAAAGCAGGGGGGGAAAAAAGGAACCAATAAGCAAAACCCTAAAGGGAAAGGAGTAACAAATGAGAGGACAGGATGTGAGGGTGAAGGTAGAGAGCCAGTGGGAATGGGGTCACCTTAAAAAAGATTAAGGTAAAGTAACTCAAGGAATTAATAGTACTGTGTTTACAGAACACAGGGGAAAAAAATCATAACCTGAAAAAACAAACCCTAATTGTTAGAGATAAAAGGAGGAAAATATAAACCTAACTCTCATAACTTTAAATGTTAAAAAAAATCTAATAAATCAAAAAAAAGAATGACAAATTGGATAAAACAAACCCCTACAATCCACTGCTTACAAGAAACACATTTTTAAAAACAAAGACATACACAAAATAAAACTGAGGGAACGAAAGAAAATTTACTACATATAACAAGCAACTTAAAAAAGCAGAAGCTGCCACCATACTATCTGAACAAAGAAAAGAAATTTAAAAAATAAAACAGGATAAACAAAGAAATCGTATGCTGAAAGGAATTATAGACAACAAACCAATATGCTCCAAATATCTTCACATCCAAATTTATAAAGGAAAGAATACAAAAAGACAGAGATAGTGACACAAAAGTGACAGGAGATTTCAATATCCCTCTCTCAGTTCTGGATAAGTCAAACAGAAAGATAAACAAAGAGAAACTGAACAAATTGCTGGAGAAACTAGAGCTAAAAGGTATTTTTTGAATGGGACTGCAAAAACAAAACAAAAAACCTTATTTCTCAGCATCACATGGAACTTTTACAAAAACTGACCGTGTATATTAGGTCAGAGAGAGATTACCAAAAAATATAAAAAAGGCAAAAATAGTTACCATATCCTTTATAAACCATAATTCAATAAAGGTACAGACCCAAATAAAGACTTAATAATGAAATATTAAATAGTGAGTCAAAGAACAAATCATAAAATTAACTAATAATTACATAAAAGAAAATTATAATGATGAAACAACATAACAAAATTTCTGGGTTGCAGCTAAAGCAGTCCGCAGGGGAAAAATCATATCCTTACAAACATACATTAACAAAATAGAAAAGGAGAGGATTAATGAACCGAATGTCCATTTTTAAAATTAGCCAAAAAATAAAATAAGCATAGAAAAGGAGATGTTAAAAATCAGAAGGGAAATAAATTGGAACAAAAAAAACCCTATGGAAATGATAATAAAACTAAAAGCTGATTCTTTGAAAAGACTAATAAAATGGATAAAATCTTAGATAATTTAACTAAAAAGAGAACAGAAAATCATACCAATAAAATACCAAAACGAACAAGGTGAAATCACAACAAAACTAGAAGAACTAAAAAGAAAAATAGACCATGGCATTCATAATTACATGCTTACAAAACTGAGAAGAACACAAAAGAAATAAAAGAATGCCTTAAAAAATATAAAACACCTAAATTATCAGAAGATCGGATAGAAATCTTAAATAAACTAACTTTAGAAAAGGAAAGAGATTTAACTGTAAAGGAAGTACCAAAGGAAAAAATTCCTGGATTCATAGGCAAATTCTATCCAAACTTTTAAAGAACAGTTAGTAGCCATATTTCACAAATTATTCTAAAAAATTAAGGCACTCTAACAGAATCCTTTTTTTCTTTTTGGTGAGGCAATCGGGGTTAAGTGACTTGCCCTGGGTCACACAGCTAGTAAATATTAAGTGTCTGAGGCCGGATTTGAACTCAGGCCCTCCTGACTCCAAGGCCAGAGCTCTATACACTGCACCACCCAGCTGCCCCAATCAGAATCCTTTTATGAGACATATATAGTCCTAATAACTAAACCAGGGAAAGATAAAATAGAAAACTATAGGCCATTGCCATTAATGAACAATGACATGAAAATTTTAAACAAAATTCTGAGAGATTAAAGCAATTTATCCAAGACATTACTCAATAACACCAAATAGAATTTATACCAGGGATGCAAGGATAGTTCAACATTAAAAAATCAATAATTTATCATATTAAAAACAAAAACATCAAAAAACCACATGATCATCTCAATAGACGCAGAAAAGCCTTTGATAAAATAAAACACAAAAAACTCTACAAAGTATAGCCATAGAGAACCTTTCTTTAATATCAGAAAAAGCATCTATCAGATCTAAGACAACTTCAAAAGACTCATGATGGAAAACGCTCTCCACATCTAGAAAAAGGACTATGAAGTCTGAATGCAGATCGAAGCATATCATTTGCGCGCTCTCGCTCTCTTTTTTCTTCTTTCTCGTGGTTTCTCCCATTGGTTCTAATTCTTTACAACATGACTAATGTGAAAACAGATTTAATATGAATGTGTATGTTTAGCCTATATCAATTTACATGCACTCTTGTGGTGGGGGGAGGGGAGAAACAGGGAGAAAATTTGGAACTCAAAATCTTATGGAAGTGAATGTTGAAAACTAAAAATAAATAAATTTATTTTTTTTAAAAAAGGATCTATTTAAAACCAAAAGTAAACATCATATACTAAAGGGAGATGCTTGAAACTTTTCTTATAAAAAGTGAAGGAAGGATGGGCTTACTATCTACTATTGCGTAATATTAGTTCTTGAAATACTAGCAACAGTAAGAAGACAAAAGAAAGAAATTACAGGCATAAAGACAGGTAAAGAAGAGATAAAACTATTCCTATTTGCTGATAATATGATGATTTACTTAGAAAATCCTGAGAAATCAGCAAAGATACTAATTGAGACAGACAATAGCTTTGGCCAAGTTGCAGCCTATAAAATAAATCTCCAAAAATCAATAGCATTTCTATATAACAATAACACAGATGAAGCAAAAACATAACCCCATTTCAAATAAACCACAAAATGCATAAAATATTTGGGGATCAACCCCCCAAAGCACACAAGACTTGTACAGATTCAATTACAAAGTATTTCTTCAGTGCTCATGGCTAGGTTGCATCAATACATTAAGAATGGCAACCACCAAAATTAACTTACATTTTAATACTATACCAATCAAATCAAAGGCATACTTATAGAATTTGATAAAACAACAGCAAAATTCATTCAGAAAAAAAAATCTAGAATATCAAGGGAAAGGATGAAAAGAAGTTAGGGTAAAGAAGGAATGTCATTTCCAGACCTCAAACATCATTACTAAGCAGCAGTCATCAAAACCATCTGGTACTTGTTAAAAAAAATATAGAAAGAGAGGCAGTTAGGTGGAAGAGTGGATAGAGCACTGGGGTTGGAATCAGAGGAAATGGCAAATCATGCCAGTATCCTTGCCAACAAAACACCAAATGTGGTCATTAAGAGTTAGACCCGGCTGAACAACAAGAACAACAAGAAGTCACTAATTATGGGCTAGTTCTTGGGATAAAAATAATAGAGGAAACAGTCCTTGCCCTCAGAAAGTTGCATTTTGGGCAGCCAGATGGTGCAATGGATGGAAATCTAGGCCTGAAGTCAGAAAGACCTGAGTTCAAATAAAGCCTCCAATACACTTACTAGCTGTATGTCCCTGGGCAAGTCACTTCACCCCGTTTACATCAGTTTCCTCATCTGTGAAATCAGATGGAGAAAAAAGTGGCAAACCACTTCAGTATCTTTGCCACAAAAACCCTAAATGGGGTCATGAGAAGTCAGACATGAAAAAAAACACCTGAATAACATAAAGAAAGAGAAAGAAGAAAGATCAATGGAATAGACAAGGGAGAATCAGAAACAACAGAAATCAATAATCTAGTGTTTTTGGTAAAATGGAAAACAAATTACCTGGGGAAAAACTCCTTATGTGATAATAACTGCTGAGAAAACTGGAAAGCAATCTAGCAGAAACTGGGCTTAGACTAGCACTTTACATCATATTCCACAATATATTCTAAATGAATACATCAATTTAATATTAAAGATATATTACAAAAAAAATAGAAGAGAAACATATCAGGTAACTCTTACACCTATGTGTAGGAGACGGATTCTTAAGCAAACAGAAGATAGAGGCAATTACAAAAGATCAAACCATAACTTTAATTATGTGAAACTGAAAAGCTTCTTCACAGACAAAATTAACCTACCAAGAATAAGAAGTGAAGTGGCTGAATTGGTTAAAAAAACTTTGTACAAATTTTTCTGATAGTGGCTTTTTATCCAAGATACATAAATGATAAATACATATACTTAAGACTAATAGCTATTCTTCAACAAATGTCAAAGGATATGAACAAACAGTTCTCAAAAAAAAAAATCAAAAACTATTCACAAGCACATGTAAGAATGCTCCAAGTCACTAATAATAAGAGAAATGCAAAACAAAACATCCTTTAGGTTTCATAGCACACGCTTCAAATTGGCAAAAAGACAAGAGGGCAACTATCAATGATAGAGGAGTTGTGGAATGACAGGCCCACTAATACATTGTTGGTGGAGCTGTGAAATGGTATATTCATTTTAAAAAAGCAATTTGGAATTATGGAAATAAAGTCTGTATTTTTTGAACCAGAGAATTCATTACTAGTCTAATACCCCAAGGAAGACAGAAGAAAGTCCCCATGTACACCAAAATATTTTTGGCAGCACTTTTGGTGACAGCAAAGAACTGGAAATAAAGTAGATGTTCATCAACTGGGGAGTGGCTTAATAAATTCTGGTACATTAATGTAACTATGCTATAAATGTGTGTGATAAATACAGAAAGGCATGGAAATATCTCTATGAATCAATGCACAGTGAAGTGAGCAGAGCCAAGAAAACAATATACACAGTAACTACAATAATGTAAATAGAAAGAACGACACACCAAAAGATCAAAAGTGAATGCAACAAAATTATAAAGAACAAGCAGACTCAAATAGAGATATGAAAGAACACCCCCAACTTGCCCTTTTGTGAAAGTAGAAGTCCACAAGTATTGCATATTACACGTTTTCAGACTTTTCAATGTATTGATCAGTTGTGAGGATTTTTTTTCTTTCTTAAAAATGTTATTTATCATATGGGATGACTCCGTGGGAGGTGAAAAGGGATAATGAAATAAGAAGCAGAAAATAACAATAAAAAAACTCATTTTTAAAAAGATGATCAAAACAAAGCAAAAGGCTACAAAAAACAAATTAGGTGGGACTGAAACTGCAACACATTCAGCTTCCTGTGCACCATGGCCTATCAAAGTACTGTACACACAGTAGTCCTCTGACATCAAGGTATCTGAAGAGATCTTGCAATACAGTTTTTTACTTCACATAAATTCATATTACAAAAATTCGACTATATGTAAAGAATTCTGAAAGAAATTCACAATACAAAAAAACACCTGTTAACTTTACTGTACAGCACTGTGCTCAATCTATTCCTGTTCCTTGTCACAGCTCTCTGTGGCCTCCCACAAAAACAAAAACAAATCACCCTAAAAAAATTGCTCCATGTGAAAGCAGAAGAATGGACTCACAGAAAGACTGCCACCTGCTCAGGGGCTTGGCTTGAGACCTCTAGCACTGAGAGGAGACCTTTTCCCCACTCTGAGTTCTGCCTCCTGCCTCATGTCCATCATCTGTTTGTTTCCAGCACCCCATGCATATTGCCTGTCTTCTCCTAGCTGTCCACATCTGGCCCCCGCATGTCTGACCCTCTGTTTTCTTCTTCTTGGTTCTGGCCAAGCTCCCACATGGCTGGCCCTGGCCCCCACATGCTTCTCATGCTATCGCTTCTGTCTCTGGCCCCCAATGTCCTTAAACTGTACGCTGGCCCCTTTCACCCTTCCCCATATTTGCTGGCAAATTCACATTATGTTTATGTAGAGGTCCGCAGAATAGTCCACTTATATATAAAGCAAGAACCGTCTATAGTTACTACTTCCAATACTTCCAAAGATACTCCTTTCACCAATGCAGACTGCAATTCTTTCTCACCTTGACTGATTGTTACTGCGGACAAAAAAGTCATCTGGGTGGCCAACCTTCTAATGATGAGCCTCTCTGAACTTAGCTAGGCTAGTCCTCAGACAACAGATATATAGGTCCGTATTTGAAGCCCTTCCATTTTGATAAGGCCTGCCAGAGTTTGCAGTTTCCTGGCATGACCTTGGAGAAGCCAGGGTCACTTCTATATGTGTTAGGGCATTTTAATAGAGATTTTAATAGAGAATCTTGTAATTACACGACCTTAACATAAGAATTAGCATTGAAATTCTGGTAAAGATGAATCTGAATGAAAAATCTGATTATGAATGGGACAGGAGAGCCCATGAAATTTGAGTTGTTTTGCTGGTGCTAAAGCTTCTAGCTGGGTAGAGAAATATAGAATCAGTTAACTCATTGAATATTTTAATCATTATCAATAATTCATAGAATATTACTTTCCCCTAAATGTTTTGCAACAATGAGAAAAACAAAAAACCAAATCTATGTTCCAAAATCAGCAACCAACCAACAAATATTAACAAATATTTACTGAATGCCTACGATATGCCTAGCACCTAATTTATTCTCATCAAAAATAATTTCTTACCATCTGGTCAGCAAGTAACAGGACAGTTTTCAGACTGAATTTTCTTGAGCAGAAATTGAAGAGATCTTCAAGGCTTGGTCCCAAAAGCTCCATCACCATGACATTATAGTCCCCTTCTGCCCCACACCATTTAATCGTAGGAATGCCCACTGAAAGAAATAAAAATTTCATTAGATATGGATTATCTGACTTGTCACCACTAAGCCTCGTATTAAAGAGAGGGTGGGAAGGTGGAGAGAAGAATTTTATGACAAGAATAATCTATGTCACTGTTCTCAAGGAGCTTAAGTCTAACTGTAAAAAGCTACACTGTATAAGACAATGTGAAGTGTACAGCAGAATTACAGGCTTCAAGACCCAAAAGGGACTTCAGAAGTCATTTAGATTTAGACCAATCCCTTAACAATACCCCTAGCAAGTAATTAGTCTCTGCTTGAACAAAGGGAATCCATTACTTCAAAAAAACAGTGCATTTTATTTTTGTAGACCTCTTGTAAAGTTCTTCCTTATGTTTAACTACTATCTACTATTTTGTAACTTCCATCCACTGGTCCTTGTGTCAAGAGACTCACAGAACAAATGGAATCTCCACAGCACAAGTATTTGAAAGCAGTTATTAGCACCTTCTCTCTTCCTCCTCTTCCTCATTCTAACCCTCTCCCTTCTTCATGCTAACACCAAAGTTCCATTAACTATTTCTCTAATAACATGGTTGACTCAACATTTTTGTGACTTCCCTAAATCTGTTCTTGTTTATCTATCTATATACTCTAGGAGTGGTCTGATCAGTACAAAGTATATGGTGGGGTTACAAGCTAGATTTCTATTAATTTGTTTTGGCAGCCTCAACACACTGTTGATTCAAACTAGTCTGAAATCAAATACAACTTCAAAGTTTTTTTCCCTCAAATGAAATGCTGCTTAGTTATCAAATCTATTTGATATTTCTGAATTGCAGGCAGGACCTTACATTTACCCTTTCTATTTTCAGCTTACTTTATCTGACCATAATTTTTTAGCTCTTATTTTGTCACCCAACTAAATAACTTTTCTAGTCAGTATTATATCATTTCCAGGCCTGACAAGCATGCCATCAAGATCTTCATCCAATTTACTAATAAAAAAGTTACAAATAACGAAAAGTGTTGAACAAAACAGAGTTTAGGTAAAATCACTGGGATACACTACCAGCAATGGCCTTTCAGGAAGACTTGGATCTGCTGAATAACATTCTTTGGGAATAGGCATTCCACTAATCACGAATCTACTTAACTGTACTATCATACAAGCTTCAGCCCCCCTCCAGCATGCCCAGAAAAGGATCTTAAAACATTCTTAAATGCCATGCTGAAATCCAGATTAACTATGTCTGTAACATTCCCAAGATTATAACTATAAAGTGCTTAGCACAGTGTCTAGCATACAGCAGGCACTTAAAAAATGCTTGTTTTCCTCCTGTCCTACCAATCTAGCATACTTGTCAATGTCAGTCTCTGTTTCCCAAAATTCTTGAAAGACTACTTGTGATAGGTTCAGCTATTCCATCTACAAGCCTTTTCAGTACCCATACTGATAATTTATATCCTACCTAGGCATTTGAAACTCAAGAGTTGCCAAATATTAACTGTCCCTTTACCTGAAATTTTAACAGCTTCAATTCCCTTGTCACAAGTTTTTGCCCTGCTGACATTATTCTTAGAGCTACAATGACATCTTTTTGTAGTCTTCTTTGATTATATTCTGCTGATTCCATCTTCTGCAAGTTTCCTTTTTAAGTCTGAAGCTACTAGAGTATATCAGTCTCTTTTGATATCTCCTCAATTTCTTTTACATGGGTATCATTCATAACTTTATTGCTAGAATTTGATTTTGAAACAGTCTCATCTGTCTGGAGCTAACTTTCCTCTTATAGTCTTAAGCCATACTACCGCAGATTCTGAGACTTGTTTTTACTAAGTCAAATTCTATGTCTTGCCCATACTCAGTTTCCTTTCTTTGGCTAATAATAACCGCTATTTCATCTTATGGCTCCCACTGCATTCATTCTCTCTTCCTGGCTGGTCAGAACTGGGTCAAAGCTCTTCTGCTGCTTCTATCTTCTAAAAGGTAAAACTGTCATCAATTCAAATATTTTATCATTTCTTCTGCTTTTAGGGAGTAAGATTTTCAGCCGTCTTTCATCATGTGTATGAACCAATTTTGTGATCTGCATCAGAAACTACCTTCTGGCTAGGTAGTCTGTATTATACCTCCTAGAATGATATAATTTCTGTTTCTCCTTTTATGCTCAGCCATGATGGTTAGTAGATTTATACAAAAGGTATAGATTTTCTTGATAGTTACTGCTATGCTATTATGTTTCATTTGAACAAAAGACCTTTCCATTGATGTACTATGGTCAAGCACTGTCTCGATAAGTCTTGGTGATACTACTGAGTTGAATCAGGAATTAAAATCTCTGGTATGTTTTGTTTATGACCTATATTCAGTAGACTAAGACACCTAAAGCAGCAAGTCTGCCCCACTTCCTGCCAAATTACCTCTGCAAACTAACAGGCAATTCTTCTATCATTATATATCATACCCAATGTCCTCAAGAGTTTAATTTCGACATTTTTCTCCTTTTCCCTTCCATTTTCAGGTTGAGTATATTGAACTGACTGGAAAGTCTCTGCCTACTCTTCCTAGTTTTTATGGGCTATAATGTCCCTAGTCAAGAATCTATCATTATGTTTACCTTAAACTATGGTCCTGAATCTTGTTCAATATCATCACTTCTAGTCAGTTGTTCATTTCCCAATAAAGTCTGCTTCCAAAGCTTTATGACTTCCAAGGTCACAAAGAAGTCACAGAAATCCTATGTGCAGGTTTTCAAGTCTGCTGCCCAGGATACTTCATAACTCCTAGAAATACTGCAGAGATTTAAGTGTACTGCCACCTTAATGTAGTAGAGAGTGCTGGCCTCAAAATTAGGAAGACCTGGGTTCAATTGCTGCTCAGACTATGTAACCCTGGGCAAGCCCTTTAAATTCGGTAGGCCTCAGTTTCCACATGTGTAAAATGAAGAAGTTAGATTCAAAAACTTTTTAGGTCCCTGCAATCTTAAGTATAAACAATAAATGTCAAAGGAGTTTAGAGGGGAAAAGAAAGATCAATACAACTAGGGAAGGCTTCATGAAAGAGGTAAGACTTGATTTGGATCTTAAAGAATGGAGGTGGTTTGGGTAGTCAGAAAGAAAGGATGGGAGTGAATAATGATATGTGTGCTGGAGGGAGAAAGGATACAAGGGGAAGACAGAGTGTAAATGAAGAAGTTGGCATAAGTAAAAGAAGTTCATATTGTGAACAGAGAAAAGGACTTGAACACAAGATTAAAAAATTTAGAAATGATTTAACAGGAAAAGACTGAGACCATTGTACGTTAAGAAGGAATGAGATATGATGAGAGCGATATTTTCAGAAGATAAATTTCACTGTGTTTTACGTAAAAGCAAGGAGAGATGGGAGGTAAGAGAAAGTTAGGAGATTCTGAATAGTCCATACCAGAAGAGACAAGGACCTAGCATATGATGGTGTTAGTGTGAACTGAAAAGAAGGGCTAAATGAAAGTTATTTTGAAGGAAGAAAAACAAAGATAAAGGGAAGGGAAGAGTAAAAGATGACACCAAGGTTTCAAATCTGGGGGAGTAGGAAAATGATTGTGAAAGCCAAACAGTAGGAGGAAAAGGGTTTGTTCAGTTTTTGATTAGTTGTGCATAGGTAATAGTGAGACATACAAATGGAAATATTCTGTGGGCAGCTAAAAATATAGAATCAGGAGAGGGAAGGAATCCTAAGTCATCTAAGTTGAATTTCTAACCTAACGAAAGAATGAAGTGCTGCTGGAAATAATCAAGCAAAGACGTCATGACAATCTGTTTCTTTGCTGGCCAGCTTGAAGGTCTTTCCTTATATGGAACCCAAATCTGTCCCTTATAACATCTACATAGTAGCCCTGGCTCTGACCCCTGGAACAGAACAAATCTATTCCTTCCTTACACATGACAGCCCTTCAAATATTTGAAGACAACTCTCCAAATTGCAAAATCTTGGGTTCCTCTTAAGAGTCACCCCCCTTGACCTTTCTTTGACTTTTCTCTCTCATCCAATCAAATGCAAAATATTACCAATTTTATATTTTATAGGTTCTCCCTACTTATACAGCCACTACAGTCAGTCAGTCAATAAACATTTCTTAAGTGCTTACCAGGCACTGTCCTAAGCACTGGGGATACAAAAAGAAACAAAAGTTAAGTCCTTGCCCCTCAAGGAGCTCACAATCTAATGGAGGGGATGATAAACAAGCAAATATGTGCAAACTAAATATAGGATAAATAGGAAATAATGAAAAGGAAGGCATTAGAATTAAGACCGGTTGGGAAAGTCTTCTGTAAAAGACAGGAATTTAGTTGGGACTTAAAGGAAGCTAGGGAGGTCAGTAGTTCGAGCAGAGGAGGGAAAGCACTCCAGGCATGAGGGACAGCCAGAGAAAATGCCCAGAAGCAAGAGATTAAGTGTAGTGTTTGTGGAATGGCCAGGAGATTTTGTCACTGGATCAAAGAGTACATGGCAGGGTACGAGACATAAGAAGACTGGAAAGGTAGAGGGATGGTGGGCTAGGTTACAAATGGCTTTGAATGGTAGACAGAGGTTGCTTTTGTATTTGATCCTAGAGGAAATAGGAAGCCACAGGAGTTGAGTGGGGGTGTGTGTGTGTGTGTGTGTGTGTGTGTGTGTGTGTGTGTGTGTGTGTAAGAGAGATAATCAGATCTGTACTTTAGGAAAATCATTTTGGTAGCTAGGAGGATGGATTACAGTGGGCGAAGACTTGAAGCAGGCAGCCTCCCACCAGCAGGCTACTGCAATAGTCCAGGTGTGAGGTGATGAGGCCTGCACCAGAGTTGTGGAGGTGCCAGAAGAGAGAAGGGGGCATATTAGAGAGATGCTGCAAAGGTTGTAATTGATAGGTCTTGGCAACAGCCTGGATATTGGGGAGAGGGTGAGAGATCATGAAGAGTTGAGGATAATATTTAGGCTGCAAACCTGAGAGACTGGTAGGATAGTGTTGGACTAATCTAGTCCAAGCCCTCTTCTTGCCTGGACAACTGGT